CAGACAGCCACAAAATATCTCACATTTCATAATTTTTATAAACTTTAAAAAGCTTGTGAATTATGAAGCATTTTAAACATTTATGAGGCGTGTCTGGAAAGTAAGTACAGTTTCGTTCTACTGCCATTGCAGTGGTAGTATCGCAGTTCAGTGCCTGCGTGTCTCTGGTTGATTGTCAGTCCAGTGACGCCATTACAGCTGGATTGTGTTGTTTTTCCACGTGTTAGTGAGCATTCAAAATGTTTAAGACTATTGCTGATCCCACCGACTGTGAAGTGCATTCTGTAATACGATTTTTGAATGCAAAGAATGTTAAGCCAGTTGAAATTCATTGTCAACTTGTAGAGATTTATGGTGAAAATGTAATGAGTGATGGAATGGTTAGAAAGTGGGTNTTAGTTGCATTCTTATAGTTTGTGTGAAAATGGTCCAATCTGAATACTTAGTAGATACATTATACTGATAATTTTTAACAGTGATACACAATATACTTATTTTTTTATTTTTGGATATTGAGGCATATTATGTAAAATTTACTTTATTTATTAATTAAAATATATAGTGATCATGAATTAGAATATTATTGTTTTATTTTTTATTCATTCTAAACTTTTATGGTTTCTGTCAAAGTTATAAACTAAAATTTTAGTTTTCAATTTAAAAACAAAATGTCAGAGTTTAAATATCACATAATAAATTATTTTATTTTAGATTAATAACTTTTAAATATTTAATTGTTTTTGAATTAAATATAATAAATTTTTAAGCATTTTGAACAAATATGTAGCTATATTAGTAAGAAAGTATCAAATATGAAAATTTCAGAATACTTTTTTAAGATGTGATTTTAAATGTATTGATTCCAGTATCATTGATATCAACAAATTGATAACTTTTAAAATTTTATGTTAAAAATCCAAAACTAGATGATAAAACTAAAAATTAAATCTTTATATATATATCCCAGAAGAGAGGATGGTCAACGACTACTAATTAATACTGGTGTATATTAAAATTTGAAAAGTGATTTGTGTTAGTCAGGTTGTGATGACCCTTCATGTGATTGAAGTTGCTAACCTTAACATCCGAAAGATATTATATAAAACTTGTTTATATAAAAAAAAAATATTGTAAAAATGTGAGAATAATTGCTTTTATATTATAATAGCGTTTAAATTTTGCAACTGGTTCTATAAACTATGTGGGAAGTATGTTCTTGTAAATATCACATTTTATAGAAAAATTATTGGGCTGCAATTTGAAGAAATTGTAGACCTATAAATTTCCACTGTCTTCCCTATGTCTGTTTGTCTGTCCTTCCTTAATCTTAAGAAAGGAGTTAGATAGATGAAAATCAAGACAAAATATGGCAAACTTAGGGCAGGAAGTTCAGATTAACTAAATAGGAATGAGATGGTGGCTTAACCTCCTATCTGTAACCAAATTACTTAATAATTAATTTACCTTAAAGTAGCCCAATTAAAGAATCTGATGGTTTAAGATAATTATATATCTAATTTAGTTATAATTTTCTTATTCAAAATTTTCCTCACAACACTGGTCATGTAAATGAAGCAAACACTCCAAAATCCTGAATATAAGATCAGTGAAGAATTTTAACTAAATGTGTTAATGTCAGATTGGGGATAGAACAAATTAAAAGCAAAAAAAAGTCATTAATTTCTATGACGAGCCAATAAAAGGAACAAGTGAACAGAATAAACCAGACACTTGTGGGAGTTGATCCATTGCTCTTGGGCGAAACAAGACAAAAGGCAAGAAACCAAAATGTAATGGAACAATAAGTTAATTTAATTTTCCAACAATTTTATCCCAAAGGATATACAGCACATTGAGTTTCTTGCGTAGTACATTAGAATTCCAACAATAATCTTAAGAGTCCTTCTTTGTTAGAGATTTACATAGTAGAGACAAAAAGTTTGAATTTGAATCTTCACCACCCCCTTTACTTACAGACTTGAAAATTCATCGGAGATCTTTGTTTCACTATTAAAGTATTCCCTCATACCTTTGTTTTACAATCCTCTACAATAGTTTTTCACTTCCTCTCACTCAGCTATTTGGTAACAGCTTCCTCACTCATGATCCACACTTCACATTTGCCATCTTCTTGAAAAACCTCTTCCCATCAACCTCTTTATCTGTTTCCCCAGGGATTTAACAACCACACTGGTCATTCCATCATAGCCAGGGGAAAACTCATTAAGCGTAAGACACATTAAAAATAAACACATTTTTGATGTACAGTATACCTAATAAGTAAGATCTGTAACACTAAATCAACTGCCATATAACATTGGGCTATTAATTGGTAATAATAATAATTATAAATTATTGATAAATTTGACCTTGGAGGCGTTAGGCACCATCTCGTATTAAATTTAATAATTATAACTTAATTAAATTTAAAATTATTTAAGTTGTAATTATTAAATTTAATATGAGATGGTGCCTAACGCCTCCCTCTAGGGTCAAATTTATAATTATTATTATTACCAATTAATAGCCCGATGTTATATTGCAGTTGATGTAGTGTTATTGTAATGTATTGGATTTTCTAAGTTGTTTATATTTATAAGTAAGATCCTACTTTGAATCAGTTTTTGTTCTGTTCTAACTTTCTCAGACAATCTGAATTTTCAAATGTAATCTTGAATTTTTAATTCATTATTGTTTTTTTTTAAATATTCCAATATAGAATGGAGAACAAAAACAAACCAGAAGCAGATCTTAGGGGTATATCAAAAATGTTTGTTTTTAACATATTTTAATTAAAATTTTTCATTGGTCTTATAATAAGGTTTTTGCCATGTTTTGAAATTTTTTATGTATCAGATTTTAAATAATTTATTATTCAAGCTTTTTTGTGTAATGCTATTTTAAAAATTTTAAACTTTTTGTATAATTTGACTTGTTCTAAAATCAATGGATATACAGTTATTCTTTTTAAATTTTTTATTTTATGCTGTTTTATGTATTTTTAAGCTGAGGATGACCAGAATAATGGCTAAAATATTTTTGGTTAAATTTTTCTTCCTTTAATAAATTCTGTTTAATTTTTGATGTATGGATATTATTGTATTAAAGATACTCTTTTATGAAATAAATATGGAGTATCATGTATAACATGGTCAAAGACATATACATAAAAATAAAAATATTATATTCTAAATATTTTGAATTTAAAGTACTACAATATAATAATTTTTGTTTCTTATATAGAAATAATTAAAAACTAACTTATTGGTAAATAAAATTGAATAAATTTTTTATTGGAATTTATTAAAAATATTTCATTTAATATAAAAAGTAGTCATAATATTATATATTCTAATGTTTTATAATGTTTTATTTTACTTTAATTACTAAAAATATGATAGATCTGAATTGTTTATCAACTATGTTAACATTGTAATAAAAAATCATTAGCTTATAAATATATACAGTAGAACCTCTATTATCTGGACTAATTGGGGATGAAGGTAGTCCGGATAAGGAAAAATCCGGATAATCGAAAAAAATACTTTAATTTGTCTTTTAATGATAATACAACACGTTTTCTTTTCGATGACATATCGATAATATTAAAAGTAAATACTGTATTTAAATCGTGATCAGATTTTCAAGAAACAAACGTTCGTATTGAATTTGGACTACTACTGACCAACGCTAACAGACTACCTATTGTATAAAAGGCCCTCTGGTGGTGCAAGAAGACGGATTTTATAAAATAAAAAGCAGTAGAAACTGCATTTTTATGAATAAAAATTTGACAAACTATCATTTTATGACGAGTAAAATATTTTCGTCGCGTTCGCGGCTTTTAAGTAATGCATAAACCTTCGAAACGCCGGACCGCGAGGCATAGACGGTGGCCCACGTTACCTATGCCTTACGCCGCCCTTGGTCATAGAAATGATGTAATTTGAAAATAAATTATTTATAAATACGTATGTCAAGTTATATTTTTATTACGACGTAAAATATATTTAAGAGTTTACGACCACTGTGCTGGGTGAGACGTTGTTGAAACAAAAAAAGTTATGCATTCCATCATGTACATAAACAGTGTCGTAATTCACCAAGTGCAAATCAGCAAATTTGTAAAATTTTTGTTTATTTTGGACAATCCGGATAATCGAAAATCCGGATAATGGAGGTCCGGATAATGGTGGTTCTACTGTATTTAAAAATTTTCTTAATGATTTATAATTTTTAATATCATATACAGTAGAGCATCATTTATTCGAATCAATTGGGGACTGAGGTTGTTCGGATAACTTATTTTTTGGGTAACCAATTATGTATGAAAAAATATATTAACCTAACCGTGTTGAAATTTTTTTCCATTGCATGTTGCTTCATGTTGAATTTTCGTTGATATTAAGCCTAACGTATACTTTTAAAAATAATAATCATGGCTATTGTATCGTTAAAAATTATTTATTGTATTTTTTACAAACAAAATAAATATATTGAAAAATATAGAAACCAAAAAATATATACTTTAGAAGATCTAGTATCAAAAACGTTTGATTCAGCGTGACACACAGTCCTCAGAAAAACACCACACAAAAGTGCCAGTGCTGCCAGCTAAAAAAATACACACCAAAAAAAAAAAATATTAGAGTAGCCCAAGATACAGCCATAGATTGCAGCGCCCACAGCACTAGCGAAAATTTAAATTTGCCAACTGGAATGCTTTTGGATAAATGACGCTCTACTGTATAACCTTTGTGAAACATGATCTGATTGTTTATTAATTTTATTTGTAAATTAAATTCAATAGTTCATGAATCTAATTATATTTTTAGTTCCTTCTTACAAACATTTCAATTCCTTGATTAGCTTTTTAACTGATATATATTACATTTTAGTATTGAAATTTTATATTTTATGTTAAAAATTAAAATTTTTTAATATTTTGACTCATTCAGAATTTATAATACTTTCATTTACAAGCAATTTTTTTATTTCAGTTATTAATAGGTTATGATACTGGTGTGGTTGTTTTATGGGATTTGCGAAACAGATCGGCAGATTCAAGGTTTCAGTGTAGTGAGGTATGTTAAATTTAACAGAAACTAACTAATATTGTTTATGGCAATTTATTCATTTTACCAAAAAATATGATCTGTATTAACTTGTAGTATTTATACTAAATAAATGCATTTGTGAAGAGAACCCAGCTGTCTCTAATCATTGGGTTTAATGAAATTTTATGAACCTGTTGTATTTATTGAATTTGTTATACCAAAGCTATTGTGGCCGTCGGCCATAATATTGTATAAAATATATTAATTTTAGTTAGTTTTAAGTTTCTTTGTTCCTTTATTTCTGACTTTTCTAGAACCTTCCTTTCCAACCTTTTCCCTTGGGTGGGATTAACAATCCCAAGAAATGGGAATGGAACAAAGGGTGAAGTGGGACCCTAAGGCAAAAAAGAACAAAGGAAAGAGCAGTCGAGGTGGAACTCTCGAGGAGGACTGACGAGAGAAGGTAGTGCTCTGGATCGCGTGTGAGACGATCGGAGACTACGAAGCTAAAGGAGAAGTCTGGGCTCGAAGTCCGTAGAATAAGGACGGAGAAGTGGTGCAGCGTCAGATTGAGTGTAAAACAATTAGAAGCTACGAGGAGCCAGCGAATCGATAGGAAGAAACTCTTATAATAGAATTTTAGAGGAAGCCATCGAAAGAATCGTACGAAAAGACATAAAGGAAGGACGAGAGACAACGTTCCACGGAAAGGTCCACGTGGTGTTCCACCCAAGGTTTCGAATTCAAAGTCCCGGGTATTTCCTTCTCCCTCTTATACTTTATTATTTCTCTACTCTCCTTTTTTTTTTCCTTTTTAGTCATAAGTAGTGTAAGAATTATTTGTAAGTTTTTGTATCGCGTATAGTCGTAACCCTCAATTAATCCGCTGTTTGTTAGATCGAATTTTAACGCCTGTACATACAGTGATCATTGTATTGTTGGGATCTGGAAGAAACGAACCTGTTTCGAAGTGACAATAAATATCTTTGTGTTCAATACATCCAAAGTGTATTTATTTCGTACCTTTCCGCTCGCGGGACATTGTACTTGTCGCAACGAAACACCACACTATAATCCATAAATTTATGTAATCTGGAGAAAATGACACTAGAATTTTTTGGAGCACTAAAATACTTTTGCAGAAAAAGTTGTTTATTTATTTGGTAGTGTAGTGATTTTGGTTAAAATAACATCAATTTAACAACAAACTTTTTGTGTGGAATTAAACCTGGTATCATGAGTGGGATGCCCATGGTACCAGGTTTAATTCTACACAAGAAGTTTTTTATTTTTATATTTACATTTAAATCTTATACATTTAAATTATTATAAACAGTTTTTAGTAAATCTCACCAAAAAACCAGCAAACCATTAGGACCTTTACCTAAACAAATGTTTTCATCCATATATAATGGATATTGTTAGGTTTAATGAAAAGAATATAGAAATTAAACACCAGAATGAAAATTGGAGCAGTATACTTTAGTTTAAAATTTTAAGCACAAAAGAGCATTGGCTCATTATAACTGTACGGGGCCAGGCAGATTAGAATTAAATGGCCCCATACACAGTGCTCACTTCAAGCTTCAAACATTTTCTTTGGGTGGAATCTCCTGGCATTCTCTTGGATTCAGCACTCAAGTAGTATATACTTTTATTGCATCAGATAATAAACTATGTTAATTAAACAAGAATTTGAATAGTATATACTTATAAATTACAGGTATTTAATGTAACAAAGAAAAAAAACAATTTTTTATAAATTAAAAAAAATATCTTAACAAAACATGAGATAAAAAAAAATTACAATTACAATGAAAATTAAAAAAAACAAGACATTACAGGGATGAATAAACAAAATTTATTATATCTTTGTTAATTTTTCAGCTCAATAAGCACAAAAAGCAATCAATTCATTGTAATCAACCCTATTTGAAATATAATTTTCAATATATAATATTGTAAAGTTACATAATTTTTCTTGTCAATTGAATTTCTATAATTTTTAATTTTTTTAAGGGCATTGAATGATTATTTTGCTGATATATTGGAAACAGAAATTGACAAATATATTTTTTAAATATATTTATTGCCATTTAGTGCATCAAGGAGTTGTCAGAATCAAATGAAATTGTACATTTGTGAGTGTAATGATGATATAAGTAAGTGATTACAAAATGAAAGCAAAAGGATTATTTATTGCAAGAAAAACTATAAATGAAAGGCCTGTTGGACCATCTCTAGCATGAATACATAATGTGTTACAGGTGTCATGTAGTCTCTAGAGGCATCTTAGTCCATAGTTGCTGCAAGTGGTCCTCTAGTTTGGCCAAATTTCTATGCTGTCCAACTTGGTGTTCCAGGTAATTCCAGACATATTCGATCGGTGACAAATCAGGACTGGACAGGGCAGGGAAGTATAGCAATCCAGATGCCTTGAAATGGTACAGACAGACATATGGGACTGTAATGATGGTGCCACCTGTGTTTGGATGGCGAATAATATGGTTGACTGTGTGTATGCTTGTTGGAGGATCAGCAGTCTTCACATGCTCAAGATTCCATTGGCAGATAGTTATCTGCCAATGCATCTTGAGCATGAGTGCCGTGTGCGAGTTCTCTCTCATATTTTGATCCTAATGCTCTTCACAGTGTTGTCGGAACAGACTATTTGACAAGATGACCATTTGGCTTCTCCCAACTGCATGATTCTTTTCTTCTCAAACTCAATTAGTTGTTCATATAGTCTTCAATTGTGACATAAAGGCATCTCTAGTGATACAGCATTCCTCTGCAACAGGTAAAGTACAGGCAGGATGTCTTTGTCCCCTTTTTTTTATAGGCCAATAGGATGGATGCACTTTAATGCTTTACATAGTTGCATGCCAAATTTTGCAGTGATATGACAACTCTTCCTTGGTATGCTAATTTTTATGGCAATGAGTGTATATATGTTACCGCTAAAGCTCAAAAGTCGTTAATGTGTACATTACCTAGCTAATCTGCAGATTAACTAGGGTGATCCGTTAAAGTTGCTAAAATTGTTCCATTTCTCAAATTACCTAGGTAATGTGCAGTTTATCTAGGTAATCTGCAAATTACCTACTAGCCACTCAGTAAAGTGAAAATAAGATCTTTGCTGAAACAACAGCAACGTTTCTGTATGCTTAAATTAACATAATGTTCTTTATTTAATTTTTGATATCTAAAGAATCAAGTTAATACAATCAAACAATCAACAAATTAGTTGATAGAATCAATCATCAACCAATTAAAAAACATACAAAAAATCAAACGATTTAAAATATTAATACAATTAGGGAAATTATTATATAGATAACCACCTATGGAATTTCGGGACTTTGAGTATCTATCTGAACTGAGGGGACTGAGACGACTTTGACGACACCCTACTTTTGGATCAGAGATGAAAAATAATAAAGTTATCATACTTTTTCTGGTGATTGCATGATATAATTGTGCAGTTAATGTTACCTATGGTGAGTAAAATAGTGGCTCGTCTCTGACTCCAGCAAATAGAAGAAAGGAAACAGTGGGGACGCACGTTCTAACCTAACCTAACCTAGTCTAATAAATTACCATAATTATTATCAACCAAATTATTAGAATAGGTTAGGTTAGGTTTGAATGTGCGTCCCCACTGTTTCCTTTCTTCTCTTTGCTGGAATCAGAGACGAACTGCCATTTTACTGACTATAGGTAACATTATCCAATTGTGCTTACTTATTAGTGCAGTCTAAAGATTGATGACACTTTGAATTTCATAGCAATTGGTTTCTGCGACAAGCACACCTATTTGTGGTACATTTATTTGTGGCAAAGATCGTATTTTCACTTTATGGAGTGCCTAGTAGGTAATGTGCGGATTACCTAGATAATCTGCACATTACCTAGGTAATTTGAGAAATGGAACAATTTTCATAACTTTAACGAATCACCCTAGTTAATCTGCAGATTATCTAGGTAATGTACACATTAACGACTTGCGAGCTTTAGCGGTAACATATATATGACAATTAGTGTTTCATAGTCACCAATAACTTTCTCCATAAGCTCCTAGACTTTCTTCCTAGGTACTCATACAACCTCACCAATGCTCTAGAGTTAATTGATTACCTCAAAGACTTTATGATCCATGGCCCAGTATACTTTTTTGTGTGTAGTAAACTAGAACTTATTATACAAAGTTTCAAAACACCTTTCTTTTTTCTAGTACAAAGTTGACCCCCATAACACTGTTGATAATTCCGTTTTATATGAATTCCATGTTGTACGAGCCACTTGGATTTTACAAATACGTAAGCTGTTCACAGCCCGGCACATGTATTTGTAAAGTCTAAGTGACTCGTACAACATGGAATTCATATAAAACGGAATTATCAACAGTGTTATGGGGGGTCAACTGTACTCTCTTTAATTTAATCCAGCTATTCTTTACAGAAAGAACATCTTAGCCTAACTGATGTTTAACTTGAAGAAAGCCATTCAAAATGGTTGAAAATGTAATTTAAATTAAAGAAAGTGATAGAAAAAAGAAAGAAAGGTGTTTTGAAACTCAGCATACGTTATTGTTTGTGACTTCTAGTCTCTATTTTTCCATTTACATTGAATCCTGCTTTTGTTCTCTGCTTAAAGTCCTCCTTAGTAATGTTAAGGACTCGGCTAAGCACCACTTAACATCTTAGAGCTTGCTGCTCTCTTATGCCACACTTTTTTTTTACTTCCAAGAACACCCTCAAAGATCTAATTCTTCATCATTCTTTCACCACTTCCGTCATGCCTAACAATCATTCCCATGATACTGTATAAAGCTGGTACATATGAAAGAAAACTGGTTACTCTGTACACAAATTGCTAGAAATAATAACTTTTGATTAACTTTCAGTAGTAGTCCCTCAGTTTTCACCCTTCTTTGCAAATACTAAAGATCCTCAGATATCTTCCTCTAATCTGGTATATAGCTTCTTGATAACAAGCACTGAGTTCAGCAGTAACATGATTTTCTTATCGCAAGTACTTTCGATGAGTATTATATCATCGTCCTCAGGCGAAAAAGTGATATAAGAAAATCATGTTAACACTGAACTCAGTGNGCTTTTATACTCTCTTTCTACATACTCACACACATTATATATATATATATATATATATACAATACCTGTTGTGGATCACAGAACCAACTGCAAATTAGAATACATGGGTGCTATAGGGTCAACTTTAAACATTTGCCTCAAAGAACATTGGGCTTTCATCATGAAAGGGCTAGCCAACATCACATTAGCAACTTTCACTTTTGACCCAAACATAGACGTACATTTTGAGTGAGCATGCTTCCCATAAAGAATAGCTTAGATATTTAGAACAATTAGAAATTTACAAAGCCACATTTTCCTTGTGGCTATCAACTTTAGAAATGTAGATTTCTTTCCCCTGTGTGGAAGTCGACCTACAAAGTCTAATCTTACAATCCTCTTCCTTTGCTCTCTCTTATATCATCCCCCTTTTAACATGTGGACAGCAGTCACCTATTCCTAGTACTTTTTCTGTTCAAACTGGTTTAATAGCTGAATTCAAACTGCAAAGATCAATTAGCCTGATGCCTGTTAAACAGATGAAAACATTTTGCTTTCTTATAGTTTCTTGCTGGATGTTGGTTATATATGCAGTATTTACTAAGTATTAATGTTTAACAATTATCGTCATCAGTTAATATCTATGAAAACAAACAATATCTGCTTAGTATATATGTTTTTACAGAATGCTAGTCTGTATAAATTATTTTAATATTTTAGATTTATTTATTTATTTTCTTTTTTTTCAAAGTATCTGACATCAATATCTTGGCATAATGATGGAAAACAATTTATATGCAGTCATACTGATGGTAGTTTAACTACATGGAATATAAGGTCTTCCAAGCCTATATCTGTCATGTATCCTCATGGTAGGTTTTTTATTTTACCATTTAATAATTTAAATTATTTAATACATCTAGCATAACAAAACTGCATTTCTTATTACATTTTGTGATTTTATGCCATGAATAAATTATGTCTTGCTGTATTAATAATTTTGTCATATAATATAATATGAAAGTAAATTTAGTACAATTTTTAAATTTAGTTTTTAATTTTTAAACACAAACACACTACAACCTTTGATAAATCAGCAGTTTCAATTTAATGATATACAGCTAATGTTTTAGTCATCTTCAATAACCATCACCAGACTAATCAGGTTTGATTTTTTTTTTGTTTTTTTAAGTATCAGACATTAGTGTCTTGGCATAATGAAGAAAACAGTTTATATGCAATGTTTTTAATTTTTAAACTGTACTTTTTACCAAATCTTTGTACAGTTAACAATAGAGAGTTACATTGAATTTAGTACTATATCTTATAATAATTTATATTCATACATTATAGTTTAATCTACTTTTTAGTTACATTTGTTAATAGTGGAAATCATTCTCAATTCAGTAATGAATTTTGCAAAAGGTAGAGTAAAAAAAATGTATACAGTTCCTATGCACCTGAAAAATCAGGGAAAGCCAGAGTTTTGTTAGCATTCAAAAAGTCATAGAAAGTCAGGAAATTTGTCAAAAAGTCAGGGAAAGTTAGTGAATTTGCCTCCATGATTGTCTTTTTGATTTCCTTTGCTGACAGTATGACTAACTATATCTATATCTATGGGCAGTCACACCACCAGCAAACAAAAAGTATGTGTAAGAACTACTATTCACTTCCCACTGCTATACCTAGAGACCAAGGTATAGGTTCTTAGGCAGTTTTTAAACCTTCCACAACTGTATTAATTGAGTTAATTTTAACAAGCAGGGGTTTAGAATATTCTATTGTGCAATGAAGTTTGGGAAAAATTAAAGCAGTTCCAGGAATATTTGCAATAGAAAAATATGACAACCATTAAAAAAAAGGAGTAACATCTTGGCTAAGCTTATAGACATTAATTGGAGAAATTTGCTAAAATGCAGGGATTTTGTTTTAAAAGTGAAATTGAAACATTGTTTACTTCGTTTCTTATCAGTTGTTAAATTGCTACCTACTTATATGGTTGTGTGCTTGCAGGAGACACAAGTTAGTTTCATTTACAGAACCATAGTTTTAATTTTTATGAAAAACTGAAATTGGAATAGAGCTATAAAAATAACTAAAACAAAAAATTAATTTTTATTTTAAAACTTGTTTTGACACTATTTAATGTGTGAATTTTATATCAACTTAAAATGAAATAGTCACTTGTTCCCTTGCATAGAAAATTGGTAAATTAATAAACTGTTAAAAAATTTTTTCTGAATTGTCTCAATTAAATAGATGAATAGTCTTATCACAATTTAAAAACTATTTTCTTTAATTTTTAGTTTTTTGTACATCAATATATATTATAAAGGTAAGTGTACAATGTGCATGTCACTAAAACTCAAAAACAAGTTCTGGTACGATCAAGGGAGTTATATGGTGTGGTAGCCCTCTATCCCTCATCCATGAAGAAGGTTGCTTCCCTTTTTTACGTGAAGGGCGTGCTGTTGAAGATATAAAGGCTGGAAGTTTTGCTATCTAGAAACTTCTAGAACAGTCTAGAAAATTCGAGAGTATTCGAGAGCATTCGACAACATTCCAGAATGTTCTGGAATGTTCAGGAACATCCCAGATCATTGTGGAACATTCCAGAACACTCTTGAATGTTGTGCAATGTTCTGGAACATTGTGGACCATTCGAAGCCTTTTTTTGTATGGGTGGGACTACCCATTGGTGGGGGTATATAAAGCAAGATTCATCGTGGGATGGAACATCAGTTTCTTATCAATGACGAAGGGAAGAACCGAAAAAGAAGTGAAAATTCCAAAGTAGTGCAGTGAGTGAATAAAAACAAACAGTGAAGTGTGAGTAGTCAAAGTGATACAGTGACTGAATATAAATCGAAAATAAAGTGTGAAAACTGTGTAAAGTGTACTTAGTGTATTTGTTACTAAAAAGTTGATTTGATTTATATTTTATACAATGCCCAAACTTAAAAGAGGAGGAGCTCTTGCCAGTTCTGAAGCAAAACAGTGAAAACAAAAAGAACAGCAAAATAACGAAACAGTCGAAGAGTGCGAGGCACGTTTACGTTCCCAAAGAACGAGAATGAGCACTGTGAGAAGCAGAGAAACTGAAGAACAACAAAATGAACAAATTGAAGAATCAAGAATTGTGACACAATCTTATAATAAAAGACTGCAAATATCACTCTGAGAAATGCGGATAAAATGTAAAATATAAGATGCTGGGGTACCCGGCTTTTTATATTTTAAAGTTTATCCTTTTATTCCAACTACCACACAATCTCATATCAACTCCTTGAGCAAAGCTGGATACCCCAGCTAGTTTATTATAAAATTTTAAAAATATCAATATTAATGTCAAACTATATTTTAAAACATCATTAAAATATGGTTTCATTTTCTAATACAGTAGCCCCCTCCTTATATTGTGCTTGTCAGGAGACAAAGAAAAAGTACTTTAGTACTTGGTTATATCTGTTGGTACGATATAATCAAGTACTAAAAATTCTAGGCTTATACTAAACAGTTTACAAATGCTGTGGAATCTCTATTCTCTATTCTTTCATCATCAAGTGTTTCTGATATAAAATAAGCTTAGTTTTTCAAAACTGAATTTGATTTGTGGTTATATCATATTAATTGATGTTTATGTAAACATTGATACCATGAATGCCCATTTAGCATTATTGTTTCTTTAAAAAATACTATCAATATAAAAACAAAATATTAGTTGTGATTTTATTATACAATACTATATTTCATATCTTTCATAATAAATTGCTTATTAAAAATTCAATTAATTTATATTTTTCAATAAAAATTATAAATACAGTAATTGAAAATGTAAAAAACATAATAGAATATCAAAACTTATAAATTTACAAAGAGAAAATTTTCTGTAAAGTTACTATTGTATAAAAATTTTAGAACTTTCCTTCAGAAATAAAGAAATTTTTTCTTCCACATTATGATGAATTCGAAATTTCACAGAAAGTTGTAAATGAGGAGACTTTACTTAAAACTAATAAATAAACAACTTTTAATATCAAAAGGAAACAAAAATGATAATTGATCTGTCCACCTGTTTTGCTTTGCTTATTTAGATTTTGACAAATTTATTTTATTTTGACAAATTTATTAGATTTTGACAAATAAATTTGTCAAATTTATTGTTTCACGTGCAGTGGTAGTTTCAAGGGCAGTGGTAGGAATAAAATACTTTACAGGTAGCCCTACCGCAGTTCCGTTCCTACAAAAGCCGGCACAAATCGAATCAGCGTAAAACGAACCTGTATTTACAGTGAGGTATAGGGTTAGGTTCTACATGAGGGAAAAATAAACTAATAATTTTGTTCATTAATACAATATAACACAAAATACGTATAAATTTTTAATTTTTAAAATGTATTTTATCATAAAATAAAGTAAAATGTTTTTATTTAAAAATTTTTGTTTCGAATTTCTTACATTTTTCGGAAAAAGTATCCATCTTTAATTGTTTACATTTTTGATTTCTTTCATTAAGAATTTCGGAATATGGTCGAATATGATGCTCCTTTTTACATTTGCACTTCGCTCCCAACATTGTCTAACTCACAAACTTCATCCGTCAAACTTTCCTTAGTTGAAAGGATACGTTAACCCGACGTAGAGCTACGGACGAGCGAAGACACTGATTGGTCGACAACCGGTTACCTTAGCGCATATATAAGGTCAGTTTGAGCGGGAAAATTCAAGGTGGCTAAGGAGAGATAAATATCATCTGGCCAACGAAGTAGATTTGTCTCACTAACGATAATTTGTGATTGCCGGAAGTGCTATTGCGTCGTAAGGTGTTTTCCTGAACGAACTGATACGGGATACATTCATTGGCACTATGGATTCGGATGCCATTTATTGGACTATTAAGTTTAATATCTTGACTCGTGGGTACCTAAACGTTTAGTATTTTAATATTAATTTAATGCAAATGTATACATACCCAATAATATTAAACAGAAAAAATAAATATATTTAATAAAAACCTTTGTTTTAATGAATGTACAATGTCGCGGCTCGGTAAATACGTCAACACTGAAATGAAAATCAGTCTAGCATAGGGAAAATCGGGGAATTACACTGCGAAATTGCGAAGCGGCGTTATTGTGAACCGGCATAAACGGAGGGTTACCTGTATTTTGTTGCAAAAAGAAATTCAATGACAATTGATATTTTAAAATTTACTGACTTAAATACTTTTAAAATTTGAGGACCAAAAAAATGTATGATATATTTGAATCCGCAATATAACAAGGCACAATATAAAGAGGGGCTACTGTTATAATATAAATAGTAATTAACCATTTAAACTTGACAATGGAGATTACATAACTGTGAAGGAAGAAGAAATCTATAGATATCTGGGATTTCACCAGCCAAACTAATTGAATACTAAAAACAAGAAACAGAACTTAATAAACTATATTGCAACTGACTAAAATCAATACTAAAAACACTTAAACTCCAAAAACCTAATAAAAGCCATCAACACACATGCCATTTCACTACTTGCCTACTATTTTGGCACCATTCAGTGGACCAACACTAATCTTGAGGACTTAAACCATAAAATCCAAATAATACCCATTAAGTATAGACTGCACCATCCTGATTATGCTAAGGAAAAGGCTTATTTTTCATGCTGGGTGGGTGGCTGCAGTCTTATTGACATTAAAATTTTCCATCAGAAATATTGCATAGATAGATTCACAGCAAAGCTTCTTCCACACTAAACAACAATTATCATCACCCCACACTAGAATTATCTAGGCTGATGATAATTGTACACTATTAAATCTTAGGAAAACCTAAAGTACAAAGAACACAAATGAACCTGTCAACAGAAAGCAGTTTTTGTATTTTTGCAGAATATGCTGTTTTTCCACTAAGCCCTCAATTATGAAAAATGGTATTACTGGTTTGTTAATATTTCAAACTTTAAAAAAATAATGCATTGCTAAATCTAACAATAATCTGTTTTATTTTTTGTTAGAATATAGGTGATCTTTGACATATACTGTAGTTTTGTTCCTAAAAAGCATGACTTACAATAAAATGATATAAATTATACATTTATTCAATTGAACTTATGTATATTATGGGAAAGCTATATTCCAGACCAACTAAAATATTTGAATTTAAATGGAAGTATGTGGACATATGAATAGGATTTACTATTTATTATTTACATTTTTATTTCATTTTATAGTTTTTGAAATTTTGATTTATACTACTGTATAGCAAACAGTTAAGGTTATACAGCTTTGTAAAATTTACTTGTTATATTAAATGTTTAAAACATACTTATTACTGTACACATTTTATATACAGTATAAAATTAAGAATTTAAATACAGAAAAAAATTTGAGGAAAAATATACTATTTGACCAGGAATGTAAATGTGTAAGTGTGAATGTATCTGATATATAAGTTCCTAATGAATGATAAAATGTATGCAAATGACATGTTTAGGACCTTCTGTATATGATAACAAAGACAATATTTTTTATTAGTCATGATGAAAAATATATGAATTTTGACCATAAAACCAGAAAAATATTTGTCATTGTGAGAATGATAAATGAAATATTGCTAAAATTTTTCTTCTTGTTGTTATTTCTGTTGTCATAAATCAACTTTACAACTTCAGGAGACTGAATAACAAGTTTAAATACACAACAAAAAAACCCATTTTATTTCTAGTGTGACTCGTTAGTATTATATTAACACAGTAATATGGTTGGTTTATTTTGAATTGGATTTATACCAAATATAAATACAGGAAATCTTCATTAATTTTAACTCTGATAGTTCAAAATTCTGTTAGTTTGTAACTGTACTATTTGTCTTGGGCAGGGATATATAGATTTACATGTTAAAGAATTTGGTTAGTTCAAAATATGGGCTACTTAGAATTTTCAAGTGAAAATTTCATCTGAACATATGTTAACTCATTCAATTAGATCAAAGTGCCTCCGTATTCTAAGAGAATAATGGACTAAGAACAACTGTGGTCTGGTGAATATGGCTTTGCTTTTGCAGTGTGAGACCAACGAGTGAGACAAAGACACAAAATCGAAAATAAATAAAATAAAATACAATTTTATTAACTTGCTTGTTATGATACAGGTTTCTAAGGATACCAACAATGCAACACTCACTGAATAATTCACACAATTATTCAATCACCGTACAATATAGTCTCCCGACAAAGAATGCGCACATGTAGTCCTTTGTCTGACACAATGATTTAATTACTTAAAATTATATTAATTAAAAGTAGATTCTTATTACTGCTTATAACTATTGAATAAAGAAGGCTTATTAGAAAATTTAGATCAGGGGTGTCCAACCTTTTTGTTTCTCTGGGCCGCATTGGAAGAAGTCAGAGTTTTGGGCCACAAGTATATATAATATATACTTGTGGCCCAATATAGAAGTATATTTAAGGATTAACATGTCTAGATTATAATAATAAATATTAAATCTTTATCACGAAAAAGAATATTTTAAAAAATTACTTCTACAGACACTTTCAATTTTTACTTAGAAATAGATAAATTCATTTATTATAAGAGAGACAAATGGAAATTTATTTGAAAAACACAAATATTTGTTTTATTTGGGTCTCTAATTAATAAAAAACGACAAAACACCATTTTAAAGTGCATTTTCATTCAACTAATACAGTATATTTATAAATAAAATGTAACCCAAGAAGTAGCCAATGCACCAAATGATAATTTCTACGTCAAACAAAAAAAAGTAGTCACATTTGGCGCAATGTAGCCAAATCTTGCAATATTGGAAGAAATACTATTACTAAATAAAGCTGGAGTTGTGACTCAAAAGATTATAGACCCAAATGCGGGGAAAGGAGAAAAGATAAAGAAGTGGAAAATTAAGGATCAATATTTGCATAACAGAAGATCTATTTAATTTTTCTTGTTACTTTTTATATTTTGTCTTTTCTCACCTTTCTGTCCTTTTCCCAAATTTGGGTCTATAATTCTTTGAGTCACAACTCCAGCTTTATTTAGTAATCCTTCCTCATTCACACATCTCCAAGTATTTGAAAATATTTCTTTTCCACTCAAAAATAAAATATGAACAAAGATTTATGACTTTGTGAAACTTCTTTTTTGAGTTTATGCCGTTGAAATAAATAAATAAATAAATTAATTAAAACATTTGTCGGTTTTGTTTACACATTTATTAGGCCGCATTGAAACTTGCCTTGGGCTGCATGCAGGCCACGGGTTGGACACCCCTGATTTAGATAATGAAAGTAAGGGATAGAAAATAGAGTACCCAAAACTTGATGAGGTATGCTGCTTGTATGGGATCATGGATGAGATCTCTTGTTGGGTTGGTGACTAACTTCACTTCTGTCACTCTCCAAAATAATAGTTTGAAGGGCTGATGCGTCTTGTTCCTCACAATTAATTCCTTTTTATTTCTTAGTTCCAAGGTTCTTGTCTCTACCATATGATGCTAAATGTACTGGGGAGACTCCATTTCACTCTCCCTCCTTTGGGTTTCTGCCTTGGAATCACCCACGTGTTCGCCCCTTCTTTGTTTCTAGGGTTAATCATCCACATACCAAAGCAAAGGGTAAAATGAGAACATTCCAGGATGGGTAGATAAATAGGACAGAAAGAGTGGAAGCGGAGAATATATAATATAAAATAATACAATTTTATACAAAATATACAATTTAAATATAGCGTGTAGCCACAATAGAAACACATTTTTGGGTGTCACCTTACCCATGGACTACCCTTATTTTCTCTTCTAATAAAATATGGTTGTGTTTCAGGATTGCAAATTTGGGCTACAAGTATCAGATTGAGATATTTGTACAGCTCTAGGCTATTAGATTTGTGCAACTCACTACTTTTTGGACAACTTTAAAAATAATTTGGGCTACATTTTGAGGAATTCAGCTTTACATTTTATAAAACCTACCTTCCAACCTTTGATGTTCTCACCAGATACATGCTGTTTACCTGCAGTTAATAATTAATAATAATGCAAATAAACAAAAGTATTCTGTATATGTAGCTGTATTCTATTTGCTTAATAAATTAATCAGTTATGTGGTATTTGGAATATTGTACAGAAATATGTAAATCTTGGATAATTTGAAACTCAATATTTTGAAGTTGTGATTATTATGTTCCTTGAATTTCAAACTAATGAGGATTTCCTGTATTAGTTCAAAATGCACAAATCTATTTGCACAAGCATGTTAGATATATGTTAGATATATGCTGTTTTTTTTATCAAGCTTCGATGGTCCATAAGAAAAAAAAAGACAAGTGTAAATAACAAAATGAATTTATTACAAAAGTTAGGTACAAACATGGTTACTTTTCAACATAATCACTGTGAAGATTGAAGCATTTGTCATATCTATGGACGATCCCTAATGACAAGGGGATGGAAAAACTCATCCACAAATATGAAAAATTCCTCAATCTTTATGGTGATTATGTCGAAAAGTAACCATGTTTGCACCTAACTTTTGGTAATAAATTCATTTTGTTATTTACACTTGTTTTTGTTTTATGGACCATCGGAGCTTGAAAAAATCATCCTTGTATATATTATTATTTGTCAAATTAGAATTTATCTAATATCAGTTTAATTTAATATGAATAATATGGAAATTGTCTAAATAAAACATTATATTTCAATTTTAATACCATTCCATAATGTATTTTATGTGATTTGTCATTTTTTTTTATTTCATGTAGCCAAACTTAACAAAGATGGTAAGCCTGAATTGTGTAAAAGTATATACAAGGTAGAATGGAGAACAGTCCGAGGAGGGTAAGCATAAAATAAAAACAATTATGAAAAATAATAATGTAAAAAAATAACAAACTTAAGTAGAAATTGTCATTTCTAATTCTATTTCTATTGATCTCAGTTTAATCAGAAAATGTATCATATATAAATTTATAAATTAAGATAACTATTGAAAATGCAATTGGAGTATAATATAGTTAAATAAAATGTAAATGGACACTTATTAATATAGATTTAATTTTTTATCAAAGAAATTCAACAATCAATAATTATTTTAATGGAGACATAATTTTTTGTTATTTATATTTGTGGAATTTATTTATTACATTCAGTTTTTAGTTTTTTTTCATTATCAGCATATAATTATTCTTTAACCAGTGATGTCTCTAAATATCCATTAATTTTGGTTATTATTGATTTACTTTCAATGAGTTAATGCAAATATACACAATCAAAAAGTTTTCACAAGAATCAACACAAACTAGAAACAGAAAATGATGCAACTTCAGCCATTTCTGTCTGCTGTATTCTAATGTCTACTACTACAAATGACCTACATGTAGTTTTGTTCAAATCTGCAAGTTAAAAGTTGCCTATGTCCCCTTATTACATTAGTTCATGGTAATTTAGATTGAAAAGATGAGTTTTCTCTAAACAAAACATTAACACATGAAAGGAATGCTTTAGCAAAAAATACTATAGAAAGCTTATGAGTTGTGAAAGTCTGTGAGAGTTGCAGGAAAGATTGAAAATATAACTTGTATGACCAAGGCATGATAGAGGCAGCAAAGTCTTCAAGTGCAAAATATCAGGTCAGTCCAAAAGTTCGTGCGCATTTTGGCAAAATTTTTAAATGGTGTAAATAAAACACAATTTAACATTTTAATCTATGATATATTTTCCTCCGCTATCTACAATATCTCGCCATCTTTCTGGTAGCTTTTTTATTCCATTGGTGTAAAAAGATTCTGGTTTTGAAGCAAAAAAACTTCTGAGTTCATTTTGTATATCCTGTTTAGAATTGAACTTTTTGCATTGGCAAAAATTTTGTAAGGCACAAAATAACTGAAAATCACTTGGGGCAATATCCGGGGAGTATGCAGGATGTGGCAAAAGCTCCCAATTCAGTTCATTAATTTTTTGCAGCATTTTTCGAGCCGTATGTGGTCTAGCGTTATCATGGTGGAACAACACTTTCTTCATATTCACCAATCGCGGGTGTTTTTTTATCAATTCTGAATTTAAGCGGCAAAGTTGTTTACTGTATACATCTGCATTAATGGTTTTATTTGGTTCTAATAATTCATAATAAATGACACCATACATATCCCACCACACACTTAGCAGAACCTTTTTGGGATGTAAAGACACCTTTGGTGTTGGAATTGGCTGCTTATCTTTGTCTGTCCACTGTCTTTTTCTGGTGACATTATCATAAATAACCCATTTTTTGTCACCTGTTACCAAATAGTCTAAAAATGGCTCTCTTTCAAAGCGCGATAGAAGGGAAATGCAGATGTTTAATCACTGCTGGCAATTGGCTTCGGGCAGCTCGTGTGGTACCTACTTTTTAAGCTTGGATATTTTTCCAATCTCCTTTAAATGGCGAAAGACTGTCCCATGAGATGAATGCATCTTTTCTGCAATCTGATCCACTGTTAAATGTGGCTCTGATTCCACAAGATTTTTAAGAACGTTGTTATCAAAATCGACAGGACGTCCTGAACGGGGTTTATCATTAATGTTGCTTTTTCCAAGTTTAAATTTTTTGAACCATTTCTGGGCAGTCCTCACACTAATAGTATGTGCACCATGTACACTATTAATTTTTATTGCTGCAGATCTGGCAGTTTCACCACTCGAAAAGAAAAAATATAACACAGCACGTTTATATGCGTTATCAATATTCATTTTTTATCGGTACTAATATGCGTCTGATCTATATGAAATTTGGTGACAAACTGACGAATACAACGGTCAAGCGATGACAAGTTTTGACAGGTTCGGAATCTTATCGATCTGGTAATAAATAATCGCGAAACCCTTACATGCTACTAATGCGCATGAACTTTTGGACTGACCTGATATAATACAGGCTTACAGAATTAGAAATGAAAATGAAAGAATTATAATGAAAACCTTTTAGAAGACATATATATAAAAATCTCAAACCTGACATTATTAATCAATGCCAAATGATTGCCATAATGCATTGGACTATTTTTTTTGCTATAATTAATAATTAAATTTTAAATAATTCATTACTAGAGGTAGGCATTAGGCACCATTTCTGTTGTTGCCTTTCAGAAGTCACAAACAGAAAGTAAATGCTTTCTTAATGAAAATAGAACATTAAAAAAAGTTCTGCAAAAAGCTTATCAGAAGAAAGGAAAAGATTACAGAAGGAACTTTAATAATTTTTAATGGGCATCTCTAGCTTATGGTACGATAGATATTTCATTATTTTCATTAGATATTACAGAAGAATTGGTAAATTTGCATGTATAGGATGTATAGTGGTTCTTTTGAGACTTTAAATAAAATATGATACTGAAATATTGTTTCTTAAAATTCTCCTATTATTTTCATTTTTAATGTCAAATGATTACTTGATTAGATTAGGCTATAACAATGCTGCTATTAATAATTAGATATCAAGTAATTTGGCATAGAGATAGGTAGGTATTAGATGCCATCTCTCTTACTTTTCCAGCTCTGTTATATATAGCAGAAGGAAAGTTGGCAATTGGTCAAAAAATGAACCCATAAGATTTTTACATTTTTAGACTCAGGACCTTGAAACATTGAGAAATACAAAATAATTTGAGTTTTTTTTTTCTGTATGTATGTTTGTGTATATGTGTGGGACATGATTTTTGTTCACCCTTTTTGAAGCTTAATATGAATAATTCTTGTGCTTGTTGTTGAAAATTTCTGAAATTTTTCAGGGAGTTTTGTGTATTAGGAGGATTGATGCTATTAAATTTTGGTGGTTGAAGATTGATGAGTGAGAAGATAAAGGGGTTGTGTCATATCTCAGTAGGGTTGGATTTAATGATAGTTTTTCTTGTTATTAGTATTTATAAATTTTTTTTATAAAACCCATCTTTACCCTCAAAATTAAGCTTTTTGCCATTTTATAATAGTTAAAATTATAAGTTTAATAAAATATCATAATAGATGATGCTACAACATACAGTTTTAAATGTTGCTGGGAAAGTTAAGCAACTCGTTGCTGGACTTTTTAAATTTAATTAAATTAATATTTAATAATTAATTTAGGAGGTTTGAAAAGACTTATACGTTTTGTTTTTAGTCTGTGGGAGCACTGAATATTAAAAATAAATTAGATTAGCATGTAATGCCATAAATGAAAGTTATTATTTTTTTAATTGTTAAATTTTATAATCAAATATAATCACTGATCACAATGATTAGTACAATAATAAGCAGTAACATTTATTCATTATTCTCTCTTATAACTCATTACTTCTGAAAATAATGAATAACAAATAGTTTTTAAAAAAAGAATATTTGTTATTTTGAATCATTGCAAATAATGGGTACAAGAATAAGATAGTTAATATTTGGATATCACTACTCCAGAGTAACTTGAAAAATATTTGTGCAATTTTCATCTAGTAAAAATAATGACACACATCAAAATATTAAAGTTCTTAGCTGTCTTATTATGTTAATGCTATTTTATTTGAAGGAAACTACTCAGACATTTCAAGTTATTCCAGATCAAAGAAAAATGTATTAAGAACAGTTTACAGTTACAATTTCTCCTAAAACATAAAAGATTTTACATAATTCCTATTTATGTGTTTAAGTTTGAATTTCTTTCCAAATGTCTATGGAACTGCATATTTGAGAAACCTTTCATTTTTTGAAAAGCAATTTACATAATCATTTGAAAGTAGCCTCCCAAGCATCGAACTAGTGTTAATTAATTTTTTAGGATAATAAGATAAATGAAAATTAATTGAAATACCTTAAAATTTTTAAAAATATACAGGCATTCCCATTTAACATCAGTAATCTATTTCTAAAAATTAAACATTCTGCAGGAAACTTGTTTCCTGCATTTCTTAAAACAAGTTTTAAGAAATCTGCTAAAAGTGTTGGTATGATATGACAGTATGATGCCTTTGTCTCAGCTACATTTGAGACCAATTCCATTTTTTGACAGTTAATGGTTTTTAAAATGTCTCTATATGATTATTATAATCAAAGTAATTGTATTCAGAATGTTGCTTGAGACATTTTCTTATGTAGTTTCGTAAAATTTGTTGTATTGAATTTTTTGCAATATAATTATATACTTTTAATATAAGCATCAATAGAAAAATGTTGTATTAGAGATGCATGTGTTCTATGAAGTTTTGATATTAAAATTTAAAAGATATTGTCAGAAAGATTTTAAGCAGGGGATGGCTGTATTTAATTTATTTATAAATTAAAATTATTACATAAGAATAATTATATAATATTTACATATTTTATTATAAACAAATTTTTATTAGGTTTGTATTCTTTCAGTGATTCATTTGTTATATTTTCTGGAGGATTACCATACGATAGGACAGGGCAATCACCAAGTTTAACAATTATCCATGGGAAAGTAACAACGGTATTAGAAATGGAACATTCTATCATTGATTTTATTACATTATGTGAAACACCTTGGCAAAGTGGTAAGAATCAGTATCACATAAATATTTAATGATGATAAAAATTAATATTCACTTCAATGACAAAGTTATTGGCTAAAAGATAGAAAAACACCAAAAATGATATAATATGCAAAAACTGAAGAAAGGTATGAAATTTTCCTGATTTGTTTCAAAAGTGTCCATTTCTATCATATTCACTAATTTGATTTTACATAAACAATTTGGTGTACGAAAGTTTCGTGTTCTTATTTCATTAAGAAAATGTACTGAATTTATTTTAATTTACTAAATTAAACTATTTTTTTAAGTATACAATTCTAAATTGACTAGTAATAAAATTTTAATTTAATTTAAATTATATTGATTTATTTTTTAAGGATTTTAAATTCAAGTTTTAACTATTATTAACAGTTTGTCATTTTCTTGTTAATAGAGATTTGTTATGTTTATATTTTATTAAGCCAATATGTAATGAAATAAACAAAAATAAATATATTTTAAAATAAAAAGCCAGTTTATAAATTGAATAATTAGATAAATCTGTTAATAACAAAATAACAACCAATGTATCAGTTGCAATATATAAATTACAGATGACAAGAAAAATCAAGATTCAGATCAAAAGAATTCACATAATTTTGAATGAATTTATAGCATTTAAATATCTGGCCAGAGAATTTATATGAATAGATCAAATTTTTTCTAAGTTGATATATCTAGTATTCTATTTGTTGTTTTTGATTTTTTTCTTAACAAGGAGTTATAATTTATAGAAAAGGATTTAGAATTTGGTATTGGTTTTAAAAAGTCAGTTGTTTGTAAAATTATCATTAAAGTTCACAAATTTTTGAATTAATTTAAAGTAATTCAGACTTATAATAATGATTCAATCATTCAGTTTTTTGAATCAGTTTTTATTACATTCATAAATGAATAATTTTATCATAACTAAATGAAGTACCTAATATTTTTTTAATTATTTGAAAATGTAAATGTCAAAGGATATGAAAATTAATTTTATATTACCTAAATAAAAGTTATTTATATTTAATTAATTTATAAATTATGCCAATTTAAGACAATAATATATTAGCATATTCATAGCAATTAAAAATTTAAGTTTTACACTTTTATAAATTATAATTAAAATGAAAAATTTTATTTATATATAAAATTGCAAAAAATGGTATATTATCCTACAAATATAATCATTTCTTCAATGTTGATGTATGTTAAGCTAAAAAATAAATTTATAAAATTGTTTAGGGTTCATCATGAAGAATGTAGATCTACACATACTTCATTATGAAATTTCTTTGTGGAGATATCTAGCTTTTTCTATGGAAAAATGTGAGTATTCGGCTATACAGTGCAATCAAAGATATGCTTGGCAAAATAGGGTCTTAACTTATTTACTAGTACTGCTTTGTATGTAGTTGTTATTGATGTAGTCATCTAATAAGTTGCTAATAAATTATTGAAGAAATATTTATTAACTATCTACATAAAACATTTTTCATGATCAAATTTATCAACAAAATATTTTTTGTGAAAAATATTCTAATATTTCCCATTTAATAACATGTTTAAAATTATAATTCTTAAGATAAATATAAATATATCTAAAAAATAAATAAGATATTAACAGAATTTAGTTTACATTGTAAATGAAACAATAATGTTTAAGTAATAAATATTCAAAAGAAATAACTGATAAAGATAAAATTATTTACAAAAGTACCAATGATTCTGTTTACATTTACAATGACCAGTGATTTTTGTCTAGTCAACTATTTTAATTTTTATATGTCCATTAGTCATCCTCTTCATCAGAGCCGGCCCTACCATTGGGCCAACGGAGCAGCCGCTCCAGGCGCTAAGTCCTAGGGGGCGCCTCAGTGGTAAAGAAAATTAAAGGGTATAAATTAGGGGCAGCCAAGGGGGGCGCCATAATAGGATCTCGCTCCATCCTGAAATTCGCCTGGGGCCGGCACTGCTCTTCATTTTATAATTGTAGTTACTGATGAGTTGATAAATTGAAACAAAATTCAGTACAAATAAATAAATGTAAGATATTACCTGGTTTTTCAAGATGGTTTTTACTTGATTCTTCCTTATCAACATGTAAATATAATTATTTATTATCATGTATTAATGCATGGATGGGCAAGGAAGAGTTCAGTGGGAGCCGAAATGTAGGTTTTGCAAAATGCATGGGAGCTGCAATTCTGTACTTTTTTATTCTGTACCACAGTTCTGTACCGTGATTTTATTATATAATATAAATATAATATAAAACAAATATTGAATTTTTTAAATAAACATATTTTCACAAAATTGTGGAAATAAATAATAATAAAAAGCAGAAATTAACACTTTCAGCAAGAGCCTCATGTAACTCAAAAAGAGCCGCATTTGCCCATGTCTGTATTATTATGTGTTATTTACTATCAATCATATTACTAGTTAGAAACTTTAAAATAGTTTAATTAAACAGAAAATATTCTTTTATGATTCCAGTATTAATTTAATTAAAAATACAGTTTTGACTATTTCATAAGCCATCAACTTATTTCAAGAACACAGAATATAACACTAATTTGAGTTATAACTAGAGACGAGTGAATATAATTTTTCTTGAATTCAAATATTAATCAGATCTCAAATATTTTAATACCCTGAATACTTAGTCAACTTAACTAAATAAGTTATATAAGGTAATTAATATTTTATTTAATATTTATTACTTAGTTTGTTGTATTTATTTAAATTTAAATATATTAATAAAGTAAAACAAAAAGTGTAGAAGAAAAACAATTTACTAAATTTTAACAAATGGAACTTCAAACTTTTAATTTGATTTTAAGTTTTAAAGTAACTTTTTTAGGTACTCTTATCTCAGCTATAATAGATTAATAAATAAATGTTTTTATCCTCATTTACCATGATTTTTAGTTTATAATTATTAAGAAAACAAGAATTTGAAAACATTTAAGATATAGTCTGTTTCTTTTTATGTTACAAATTATACCAGAGATGCTGAAGATAAGCTGTCAACATGCAGTAGAAGATACAAGTGAATATTAATGGCACAAATAGATTTTAATTTATTTGTTTGAATTTCAAATGTTTTTAAAAACATTTACAATGGCAAGTATAGTTTATTAGATCAGCTGCAATACAATCATTGTGCAAATGTTAATAAAAGATACTTACTACTCAAATATTTTAAATTTGAGTTAGTCTTTTTTTAGGTATTTTTGGATCTGCCACTCTGATTGTACTGTACATATGGTGTGGTATTGGAGGTATTTATAGTATTCAAATTTATTTTTTATTAATGTAATCTTTGTGATCTCAAATCTTGAATAATTTCTAGTATTTGTGGATAGTATTTGCTCATCTCTAGTTGTAATTTAATGATGGCTTCTAGCATAAGTTGAAGTTTTCAGTTTTTTAGTAAAATTAATTTTGGATTCATAAATGATTTTTCTCTATATTGCCATATTTTTAATTTTGTACTTTGTAATAGAAAAGATGAAAATAAAAGAACTCTGTATTTATCAATTTACATATGTATATGTTGTATTAATGTATATTACATTATATCTAATGAAATAGATATTTTTTCATTTGATACATGACAGTTTCTTCAATCTTTTTATAATTATAGCATATTAGCATATTTAGTATCAACATAGGGAAAAAAATTATTATATTATTAAATATTTACGTATTTTAAATATACATTAAAATAAATAATACTATTAAATATATATATTGATATATTATAGTGATATATTTATCTTTAGATCAAATTGCAGTAATAACTTAATTAAAAATAGTATAAAAATTAGTTTATATTTGGATATCAACTTTTTATTAAAATCTGAGTTATTGCTGTAGGCTTTATATTTTTTCAGTTTGAAAATGTTTTTATCAATTTTCTTTATTCTAATTCACATCTTCAGATCTACTAATCTTGCCCAGCAAAATATTTTCTGTAAAAATTATTGTTAAAGTACAAATAAATAAGAAAAATAAAGAAACAAATATATTGATTTACATAAAATTTATTAATATAAAACTTATAAAATTTCTCAGTTTACAACATATTTGTAAATATAAATGAATACCTTTGCAATTAGGTATTCATTTCTGCATGCAAATAAGTTGATGACGTTTAATTGAATGCTGTTTTTATTTTTCTCATCTACCTATAAGTTATCGTCTGGGTGCCATTTTATTCAAATGAAATGATCCCTGCTTTTCTGACTAAAATTTAATTTACAATAATCTTTCCATTAATAATATAAAATTAAAAAATAGTCAGAAATCAATGAATATTAAAAAAGCATTCGAAATCAATGGAATAATGTCATCTCAAGAATTTATTTTTAAAAGCATTTTTATACTGGAAAGGGGTAAGTTTAATAGCCAGAATAGCAAGGAGGAGCACTGGATGGAGACCTCTTGCAGTAAAATAGACTTTGTAGTTACAAACAACAGAGTTACGACTGAGTCAACATTGCAAATTTGGTGAATTTTCCCTCTGGAATAAAGAAACAAGATAATTGTAGCATGATAGGATGTAATTATTTTTACAGTAATATCACGAGTAGTATTTTTTTTATTTTTTCCAAATGAAAAATGACCCAGTTAGAAGAACAACCTGGATTAATGCTATACAGAGGCATTATTTTTATTTGTCCATCTTTATTAATTATAAAAGCATTCCTAAGTCTTTATAGACATTTTATTTCCAATAAACGATAATGTCTGTCACTGTTTCTAATAATACCATCTGGAGAACAGCATAGCCATGGCATTTCTGGGCAATGCACTCTTTATTGAATAGATATCTGAAGAGTTTTCTATCAGTATACTCTATCTGGATCAGCTGGAGATATGAATTGGTTTGTTTTCCTATATCTTTTTCTTGTTCCAAAAATGTAGCTAAGCCTTGTTCTTTTCCTTGTTTGTATTCCATTATACTGCCATTAATTAAGTTAATATGTTTATGTTAATTTTTTCAGTCTCTTATGTTCTCTGTTGATGACAGCAAGTCTTGCATGTACTTTTTCTTTTGCAATAAACATTAGATTTTTAAAATTTTGCATTACTATTATTTTTTTAAATAAAACATACATTTTTATAAAAATGTATCAGTACAAATACGTTTTTATAAAATTAAATTTTAATTAAATTTTAAAAAATGATCAAAAGAAATGTAATATAAATGATTAACTTCCTTTGATCAACTTACTTGTAATGGAATTTAGCTAGATTTATGTCCTGTACCTGTATTTATGGAATACTTTTACCAAAAGCTATATATATTTGAATATTTTGGGTAACATTATGAAAATAACCTGTTTATTTTAATTTTTCCCTTTTCTAACAGATTTTCTATAAAAAGACATTCTCAAAAATGACAGAAAATAAAATTATTTCTTAAAACTATGTCCATTGCACCTATGTAAGTACTGCTATGTATGATTGTAATTACGTTTTTCAAATTTCTGTCGCAAGAGGATGCTTTACCACAGTGCCATCTGATTTAGGCAGGAAGCATTGGGAAGAGTGAAATTAGATACATTTTCACTTTTAATTATTTTAAATGAAATTACACAGTAAAATAGATACAATAAAACTAAATAAGCTTCAAAAAGATGTGTAATTGCATTTGAGTTACATAAATGTAATTCGTATGCAATTGCCTTAACAAATTTGAAATAAATTTGTGTTAGTATATTCTATATAAATAGAATAGGTAAATAATTTTACATAATAATACTTTTAAGATGGAGAAAATAATAAAAGATGGTCTGGATAGTAGTGGTTAAGAATAATAATTTCAAATAAATAAAAGTTGCATATTCTTTAAAAGCCAATTAATAATTTTGTTTATAACTAATTCTATTATTTAATGTAAAATAGAGGAATATGTTAAATTAATTTTTAAATTAAAAGTAAAAGAACTTTTTGTTTAAAGAATTAAAAGCTATTGTCTTTCTTCAGTAACACATCACACAAGGAGCAGTTGTTGATATACCTGTAGTTTACAAAAACTATATCAACAACTGCTCCTTGTGTAATATGTTACTGAAGAAAGTTAATAGCTTTTAATTCTTTAAAGTCTACAAAACTAGTAACGAAAACTTAATTAAATTTTTTGTTTGTTTTAAGATATTTACAAAGATTATCGTTCATGAAATTTCTTGTTTTTAAGTTTTGCTGACTGATGACCACTCTATGGATAGTGTTCCTGAACTATCTTCAATTGTCAGTCAAGTGAGTAACTGTGTTCAATGTTTAACTAAAAGCAAATAAAAGCTATAGTTATCTCACAATTATGAGATCTACAGCTATTTTTAATGTATTTATCATATTGCTGTTGTACTTCTCTTATGTTTGCTTTTGATAATTCTAAATATGGTCTTTTTCTTGTGTTTATTCTCTTTGCAAGGTGTGTGAAATTTGACTTTTTAAAGAAAAACTTAGGTTTAATCTTGTCTTAAACAGATTTGGTTATCTTTCATGCAATCAATAAATACACTATTCTTTGCCAACATCATAACTTCAAGAGGACAATTTTTTTTTGTTTGCTTCTTCACTATCCAGTTTTCATGTTTTCATACTTGATGATTATGATAAAATATTATGGCTTGAACAAGTCAAATTTCTGTATATAAATATACATTTCATTATTTGAATATTTTATCTAATACTATATTTCTGTTTTGCTAAATGCAATTCTTCATTGGATTTCTTGTCTACTTATAATATAAATATTGATTATTGATCTAAGAGGCTTCACTTATTTATTATTTTAATTTGTTCTCCAACAAGGATTATAACAGTAAATTGATAATTCATTTCAGTAAACTAATTTTAATTATCAGTTTATTAAATTACTTATTAGTCACTGGACAATAATAATAATAATAATAATAATAATATATATAATTCACTACTCATCACACCTGATTTACTAAAAAATTATGTACCAGAACCATTTACGGTGTGATCATGTAAAAAGATCGCTAAACAAACGTTTTCGAATCCCATCTGGGCTCTGCTTCAGGTTCCAAACAGTTTCTAGATAGATGTTCGATATCCGTTAAAAATCCTTATGATTCGAACTCAAACTTTAAACGTCATGTTGACTGAACGGATATTTAATGGATTTCGAACATCTATCTAGAAACTCTTTTGGAACCTGAAGCAGAGCCCAGACGGGGTTCGAAAACGTTTGTTTAGCGATCTTTTTACGTAATTGCACTGTAAATGGTTGTGATACATAATTTTTTAATAATAATATAGTTTAGAATACATTAGTTCTAGTTGCATGTGATGATGATAATAAATGTTATGTTTTTATACGTAATTCAGCAAAACCCTTACTCTGTGGATATGAAAAGAACCTATTCTTTATAAATTTGTTTGTGTAATAAGTGGAAAATCCTAGATTTTTGTCTGAATCTAGGTTTATTAAAAATATTAGTTTGATGAGTATTATCATGTCTAGTTTTTATATAGTTTCCATTGTAGTTTATATAATATATATAGAAATTCATTATTAAATTGTACAGAATAATTTTTTAAATGTTAATGTATATTCAAGTGATGTCTGTATCTGTAATTCAAATAGTAAGTAAAAATGGTTAGTGATAAGGTTAACAAAAGTGTTAGTTTATAAATTCAATTGTCTGGAACAGTTCAATACAGTAAAAGTCATTATTTTTTGCTATCCAAATTTCAGTAATGATCTCTCTTGTTAAAGTATGTCAGAATAATTAATTTTTACAGTGTATAAAAATAGTACTTATATTGAATTATAAATTAATTCAGAACATTGAGAAATTTAAAGATAAACAACAAACTATATTTTTTTTTTAATTCCTGCATTATTGGAGGTATTCAGAGTTTCTATAACTTCTAAGTACTTTCACGGCTTTTTCCTCACCACAGAAGTACAAACCTTTGAGAAATTGCAAATTCATTAGATAAAATATTATCTACTTTTAAAATTAAATCTTTCACAAAATATATCAATCATATGTATTAATCTTGAGTAGATAATTTAATCTCATACCACCTGCTAGATAGAATTTGTAATGCTGTATATTTTCTTAATTAAAATTTGAGGGGACTTAAATGATCATAAAATTTTTAAAAAATATTTCTGCTGCTTTTCATTTAAATTTCTTTTCCTTGCATTTTTTTCAAACATTTGCCGAAAATTGCATAATCACATTCAATAAAATATCCAATAAGGCAGGAAGTAATTTGAAAATTGGAGAATTGCGTTTTTTTTTTTACATTAATTTTATGACTGAAATATCATTTATAATAATATGAATATGAATAGGAATATCTGAAATTAAGTAAAAAAATTTTTATGTTGAATCTGCAGTTTGTATTTTGTTATAAATAACTTCAAATAGCATGTTAATTTATACTTTTGTATATTTTATTTAAAATTCACAATGATAGTTATACAATTTTTTTTAAAGTAAATTACTGAAATAAGCATATTAACATTTAACACAATTGAATTTTAATAAAAACAAATATTTTAGCTATTTTTAGCCATCTTTAGATACATAAAAATTAAATTAAAAAAGATCTAAAGATGGCTAAAAATAGCTAAAAATATTTGTTTTTATTTATTATTAAAATTTAGTTGTATTAAATGTGTATCTTTGTTCATGTTAATAGTTGATAAATGTTTTAATTTTTCCCTATTATTGTATGGATATTCATTAAAAAGACAAATTGGAAAATTTCTGCCTTCATTTTAACCTAAATTCTTAAGAATGATAAATCATGATATCTTTGAAAGAAAATATAAATTTGATTCCGTTGTCAATAAGTGAAAAGTTTTTCAAATTTGTTAGTCATCATTTGATTTAACCATACAGCAACTGTTTTTTAATGTTAACACTTGGAAATATACATTGTCTTCAGTTTATGCTGGAAATTATAATAATAATAATAATAATATAAACACTTTAATGAGAAACTTTTGTATGATTAATTTTTAGGTTCATTTTTGTTCTGTAATGGAACTAAAAATTGAATCATTATTTTATGCTGAATTGTAGTACTTAAAAGAAAAATAAAATACAAAACACAGTTAACAACTACAGTGGGTGATCAGTTAACAAACAGTTCAGACTGAGAACAAATTGGATAATGTACATTTTCGAGATTTTTATGTTTGGACAACAAACACACATTCAGATAACGAACACCTGACAGAATAAACACAAGAAGAAGTGACACTGTGTTTAAGATTTGTAAAACTACATATTAATGACATCTATACATGGTTTATGGAATGAGACTTTCACAGTTGTATACATAACCTTTTTTACACTAGTTAATTTCTGTTCTCTGAATTTTTGTAAGTGCTTTTCCGAACTTAAAAGAACTGTGTTCACTATAGAAGCTAAGCAAGATATAACAGCCAAGGTGAGTGGGCAGAAAATATTTGATATTGTAGGCAGATGACTTCAACAGGTCTACAGTAAATACAATTTTAGCTAAGAAAGATATATTGAAGTACCCTCACTCAGCATAAGTAAATAAAAAAAAAAACATAACTCAATAAATTTTCTCAGCAAATTAAGGTAAGATATAATCAAAAAGACTCAAGCAGATAAAGGAGTAAAGAAAATCACATCTGAGAAACAAAGATGTGCCACCCATGGAAAAATGGAGATAGCTTTTAGTTTATTACATATAAATAAAAATAGTAAGAAATTATATAATTTTTATTTATTTTTTGGGGTTTTCAGAATGAATTAATCAAATTCCCACAAAAATCTATGGTAAATTGATAATCAATTAATGAACAATTCTGATAGCGAACATGGTCTTGGAACAGATTATGTTCGTTAACTGATCACCCACTGTATTTTAATTTTAAAAAAAATTATAGAACAGTCAGAAAACATTATACTGAAAATGATAACTGTCAAGTTTTGTAGCAATTTATATTAACATACTTCTAACTTAGATAATGTCATATATTCCACTCCAAAATATTGATTGGATTTCTATGTATCAATCAATTTTTGCTTACATTGGATATGCTGGATTTGTGTGTAGTGCAAATTGCCAAAAAATTTAAAAAAATAATAAACTAAATATAATCATATTAAAAAAAAAGATATTGCAGTATATTCACTTAGTTACTGTGACAATGATATAGTGTGAAGTAGAAGCACTATATTATTACTTTGATGAATAGCACATAACACTCATCTGTATGGAGTTGAAACTGTTAAACTAGTAGTTGGTCATGGGTTTGTGCATTGCCAATAGGTTGCCTTGTGCAGTTTTTCAGGTTTTCTTTAAGTTAGTAACAATTATAGGTCAGTTTTCCATAAAAGCTCTCCCAGGAGGTATCCCCCTTGGCAAATTGCTCATGTGTTGCATTGCCATAAATTATTACAATTAGTTTGGTTTATTTAGTTATGTATAAAGTTGCTATTTACAAGGACATACTTCATATGTAGATTATAGACATTTTGATACTCTTAAAATGGGAGTTATTACATACATTTTTGAAATTTATGATCTTTCAAATCACTTAAAAATAACTAACACTTTAATAATAAACTCTAATATGAAGGCTTTTGGACATTAATTTTAACAACTTTGATCACATGCAGGGCTATCACAATCTATCCGACATGAATCATTTTTGAAATATTAATAAAATAGTAGACTAGTATTAATTAGTAGTTGAATTAATTTTAATCTCCTTCAGCAACAGTTTTTTTTTCTATCAGACCAGTGATATCATGGCATTTGAATAGGAAAATTACATAATACAAAGTTACTAGTGAGTACAAAATATGTTTTAAAGGGTATTTGAGGGTGCCGAGAGTTTAAATATTTTTTTTCTGTTTTTCATGAAATTTTATTTGTAACCAGATTATCATTTGATATTCAGCTGTGAATGTTACAGCAAGTTAGAGTTAACATTAGAAAAAAAATATGTTATCTTAAAAACTAAAAGATATATTTTCAATTCTTATCTACTTGACCAATGAAACAGTGCTATTTCATACAATCCAAATATAACAATAAATGTAACAATGGTAAGCTAAAATAACCAAACTATTTATATAGTTTTTGTTTTAATATTTGTTTTGCCTGGGAAACACCAGGCTTATCTGCTACCGTGTTTCCCCGAAAATAAGACATCCGCAGAAAATAAGACCTAGCACAGATTTTGCTGAATTGCGAAATATAAGACCTCCCCCTGAAAGTAAGACCTAGCGAAGTTTTTTTTTTTTAGTCGTAACGGTCATCGACAAATGGTTGAAAGTGGCCGTTGGCTTTTTGAAAGTACAGTCATTGATTGGTCAGCAGACAATTACGCCACACAGCATGATTTGCATAAGACTATGGCTTGGGAATCACAGATTTGCATAACGTTACGGCTGGTGATGGCTAATTGGTTGGCCGGGAACACGCCACATGACATTTGCATAGTGCTACGGTTCAGTAAGCACTAATTGGTCATCGAGTCCAATGTTGACGCTATAAAAAGGCGACAGTTCGACACA